TCATTGTTAAGCTATTTTTTTTCAAGGAGGAGAGAAGAACTGCTAGATCCCTGTAATTTGTTTGTATCTCTAATATCATTTAAATATATTATCTATTTGGTTTCAATGTGCCTATGTCTTTAACGAAGAACGAGGGGAAGGAAAGGGAGGAGTAGGAGTTGAGGCAGGAGACTGGTAGGCGGCAGGTTAAGGTTTGTTACGCAGTTTCAAAAGAGTTAAAAGCCCACCGATTTGAGTTAGCCGTAGCATTTATTTTTATCGATTGAGCAGCCTGAGAAGAAGACGGTTTGCCTTGCCGGGCGGAACCGATGGTAATTTTCAAGTCCAGAAGGAACCCCCGTAGCACTGTTAAAACAGTACTAATACAATATAATATAAGGCATTATCGAGGGCATTATACAGGGTGACAATTTGAAAACTTACCACCCCCCATATCTTAGTAAATAAACGAGATATTTAAAAAAATCAAAATCCGTTTCGGTAATTCGGAGGGAGAATCACAATGACATAGTTGGCGACGCACCCCCTCCAACCCCCTGCGCCCCAGCCACCCCAACTTTTAAATCTTAAATAGTGACCCCCCATGTGTGATACGTCGTTGGAAAGCTCTGAAAAAATGCATTCCAACCAATAGCATTACATTTAGGTTAGTAATTATCGTGCAAATCAAAAAATAAACTAATATGATACATTTGAAATCTGTCGTATTTAAAACGCAACCGGCGAACATAGACGAACTAATAGTAGGGGAGCTATAGACCATTCGCACCGTAGTATGCAGTATGGGGCTTATGGAGAAACAGTACATGCTTGCCAAACTTATTATAGGATCGATTACTGCACCGTAAAACGGTAGTTTAGACACTATTTATTACTTTTTAACCTAACCTCAGAAGTCAAAAAGGTAAATTAATAACAAGTTGTAATTGTTTGTCAAATGTGGCCGAGAACAGCTTGTATTTATTAAGTCCTCAAAAATTTACAAATGTACAGTATACATATTAGTCACTGGAATCGAATTGAAATTCATCGGAAGATGACTGCGACACTTGAATTATAAATTCTTCAACATCATCTTGAAGATAATCTGCTGCCCACATGCCATCTTCGATAGTTTTCACGTGATTGACATAATGTTGCCAATTTTGAACCGTAACTTGTGAATAACCCATTTTTATTAATTCTTCCATGCCCTTTATTTTAAATGTTTTGTTATTCATTTTGATATGATGTTTAACTTGAGCCCACACCATTTCAATGGGATTTAATTCACAATGGTATGGAGGTAAACGGAGAATCTCGTAACCTTTTTCTTGTGCAATAACATCAGCTTATTTTTGTCGTAGTGATGCCGAACATGCGCAACAGAAGCCAGTAGGTCTCGTTTTAATGGATTTTCTTCAATCGGTACATTTTTCTCACGAAGCCAATCTATAATGTGTTCTTTTCTCCACGACATTGTTGGTATCTTCTCCAACTTTCTACTGTGGTACGAGGCATTGTCAATAACAATGACTGAATTCGGTGGCACATTTGGTAGAAGCTGTTCAAAAAACCCCTTTTCATAAGTGTCTGCATCCATTTCGTTGTGTGCATCAGCAGTGTTCTTTTTGCAGAGAAAAGTCAGTTCCGCGCCCGGAATAAAACCATTATCACCACCAGCATGTACTAACGCAAAGCGAGGCCCTAGACCAGTGGGTGATTTTAAACCTGTACTGAGTCCTTTGATGAATGCCTGACGATTGCTTTCAACGGTGGTGTCATGCCACACCCTGCTCACCGAATGACCAATGTTAACCCATGACTCATCCGTATACACAATATTTTTACCTAAAATATAAATATTATGTAATTTGCAATTAAATATAAGTAATAAAAAGATTAAGCACCTTCTTCTCTCAACTTCCTGATGCGACGTAGGTATTTATGTCTCCATCGTATAATATCATCCCGTTCAATAAGGATACTCTTGCGGCCAACCTTCTTAAATTTAAAACCCATATCTTTCAAGAGATTGAATAATGTGGTGCGTTTAAAGTTGGGTAGATCGTTATCGTCATTTACGGAAGCTAAGATGCTGTTCATAGTTGGTGGAATATTTGTAATGAAAAAGTTATGCACTTTACGTCGAATAACTGATTGCACATTTTCATCATACACATGAAGACGATCATTGCTTTGTTTCCCTTTTCTTTGCTTGCGTTTTTTCGGGCTTGATACGCCTTCGTTTCCGTCTTCCTTTTTAATGGCATAGATGCTCCGTTCAGAACAACATAAAGCTTTACTTGCTTCTTTCACAGCTGCAGTAACGTTCATCGTTCCCGAGAAATAGTTCAGCGCGTTGATAATGAGGTGTTTCTCCTTCCGGCTAAAACACTCTCCTTTATGGCGTTTCACGTTAGCAGATCCTGCTTCAGCTTCGGCTTCCATTTAATGGGATATTCTGAAAAGATGAAATCAAATAACGGTTCTACAAGAACAGTCAAAGTTACCTTGTATATAAAGTACGAGATGGAGGCGTTCTTAAAAGAACGATTTTTAAAGCAATGAGACAATAAAATGTGTTAAATACGAAAGACAAAAACGAACCACACACGTAATGACAATACAAGAAGATTTGACGTTATATTTTGTTTTAAAGCTTAAATTCAATCATATGTAAGTTTGGGATCATTGCGGTAAGGAATAAGGATAGCGTTATTGAAGAATGACGCAAATTAGTAAAGGAGGGATATAGTCCATAAGACCCCATACTGCATACTAAGGTGCGAATGCTCTATAGCACGAAATCCACTGAACGAGAATGATCAAAATTTTAACTGATGGAGTTCCATTTTGCCCTATCAGAGTATGCTAAAATCGATCGTCTGCCGCCTCAGGTCATACGACTTAAGGTGCTGCGGGTACTTCTTGCGGTACCAATTCTGAAAGGTTGTTTTTCGAGAAAATAAGTTATACACCAAATGAAAACGTTGATAATAGCTCTTAAAAAAATATTTAAAAAAATCGCGTACATTTGATAACTCCGTAAAAAAACAATTCTTAGTCGGTTTTTCACGAACTTTCTACGGATATAACTAGGTTACGGTTAGACGAATGAAGCTGATTTTTTCTACAGACTGATGATAGGTACTACTAATGACTTAGTTAGTTTTTAAATTTGTTCTCTAATTATAAGATTATCTTATCATCTTAACATTATAAGATATCTTCTAATTAGAGAAAAAATTTAAAAAAGAAACACTCTCATAGCCATTATGGCTGTGCCCATCATTATAGTCTGTAAAAAAAATCAGCTTCATTTATCCGACAGTAACCTAGTTATAACCGTAGAAAGTTCGTGAAAAACCGACTAAGGATTGTTTTTTTACGGAGTTATCAAATGTGCGCGATTTTTTAAAATATTTTTTTAAGAGCTATTATCAACGTTTTCATTTGGTGTATAAGTTATTTTCTCGAAAAACAACCTTTCAGAATTGGTACCACAAGAAGTACCCGCAGCGCCTTAAGTCGTATGACCTGAGACGGCAGACGATCGATTTTAGCATACTCTGATAGGGCAAAATGGAACTCCATCGGTTAAAATTTTGATCATTCTCGTTCAGTGGATTTCGTGCTAGCTCCCCTACTATAAGACAGAGAATAATTCAAGAATGTCGAAATATTGCAAAACCAACATTTGAAAAGGTTCGACAAGAGTTTGAGAATAGATTATAACTGGCGATCAAAAATGAGTTGCTGTCAAGTCGGGTTTGGAAGTTCAAGTTAAATACGATTTTCCATGTTTATTTTTTGATTTGCACGATAATTACTAACCTAAATGTAATGCTATTTGGTATGGTTGAAAAGCATTTTTTCAGAGCTTTCCAACGACGTATCACACATGGGGGGTCACTATTTAAGATTTAAAAGTTGGGGTGACTGGGGCGCAGGGGGTTGGAGGGGGTGCGTCGTCAACTATGTCATTGTGATTCCCCCTCCGAATTACCGAAACGGATTTTGATTTTTTTAAATATCTCGTTTATTTACTAAGATATGAGGGGTGGTAAGTTTTCAAATTGTCACCCTGTATACGCATAATTGGGGGCGCATGTCATTCCAGTTTACGACACCGAAAGAATTTTATCTACTCGTATTACATTTAAAGGCTTAGAAAGAAGCATTCAGTTTTATAAATTCGATGTTGAAGTTTTATTAATTTGATTCAGATATTTGATGCCAAGTATGGCTTTGTAACACAAGCCTTATATCTTTCTTTGCTCAATGTATGGAACTGGACCCTGTTCTTCCGAAGGTAGTTCTGCATCATTCTGAACTGATCGCAATTTCTTCCTGTATTCTTTCCCCTCTCACTTACGCCCGGGTGGTGGTCGGTTTGAGTATCTGCTGCACTCGTTGGTCATCTTCGATAGTAGAACTCATGACACTGTCATTCCTTGAAGATTGAACAGAGATAGCACAGCTATATGGAGTGTAGGAAGCCCTATGTCTCAATCTACCTACTACTAAGGTAGATATGTTTTACTGTCCGTAACGAAGCACATAATGTGCTACGACACGCAGCGCTTTCTAGTACCATTGAATAAGTAGTCATTACTTATTCCATGTTAGTACCTATAAGTGACCGTGTTGTGGAATTTGAGTACGCGTCAGTTTATCCACTCAATAGTTTTAAATGTCAGTGCTGAAGCAGATTATTTATAATGCTCGCCTGGAGAGAATACCGGTCACAGAACAACTGATGCCGGTCTACAATCGTCTGTAAAAAAGGCCAATTCACATCATCGGTCAGATCACGGTCCGATCAATTATTGTAGCGTGTATTTCTATGAACATGTTCTGACCGTGACCTGGCCGTCAAATATGAATATTCCTATTGAATGTTACAATATTTTGAGCGGAGTGTCACCCGAACTATGGTATGAATTGGCCTTAATAGGTCGTAATCCGTAGGATCGATGAAAAGAAGTAATTTTGTCATGCGGTTAAAAATGAAGAAATAAAAATAAATTGGGTATTTTTATTCAAAGCAATAGACCAGATTACTAATTTGTGTTGCATGTGCCGCCAGGAAGATGTCCCTCCCTTAAAAAGTCACACTCTTTACAATTTATTTTATTAAACTTAGTCTCGTGGACAGTTTCACAATGATGCAGATGGTGGCATAGATTTTGAAGGAGAGCATAGGTTTGTTTAGTCCTTTTACAGCTTTAGCATATGTGCGCGAGCTTAAGATTACGAAGATTGCAAACATTTTTTATCAGCTACATTCCTTTATTTGGCCTCTCACAGTGTCATTTATGATAATAAGTACCTAAATTGTTGGAATACCTCCGACCATTCTGCTTTTGAACGAACTTCTTCAGCTCCTGAAGAATGCAATTTCTCACTAATACAACTCTTTGTCCGTGAGTATATCCGCCCAAATCCCTGCAGATCATTACAATTCTCGATCCTTCCATTTTGCTTAGAAGTATGCCCGGTCCTGTGTCCCCCACATCTCTGCCCATCGAAGCACTTAACGCCTTCTCAATCGCCTCGTAGTTAATCGCGCCATTATAGCTTTGAAATCGCTTATTCTTCCACATACAACTCAAAAACTCATTATAGCGCGGATTGTCGATGGGAATTAGATTTAGGTGGCTGAGTTCTTCGATTGACTTAATTTCGAGGTAGGGAATCACAACCAAGTGGACAAACTCCTGTTCCTCGTAATCAAAGTTAAAGCCGTATGGAAAACATTTTGCATCCTCTAATGTTAGATGTGTTACGTCTAAAAGTCCCTTTTTAATTTGATCCTGCAACAAAAATTATAGATATTGGTTAGAGTATTTATAGGTCCTTAGAAGTGTATGAAAAATCATCTGTGTGTTACATGTGTTCAATGGTAAAGCGTTGGGCTATAATTTTTAATCTGTGGCAGAGATGGCAATCACATTCACCAGTTTCGAGCATTCTGCCGTATTCCTGCACTTTTCCGTATTCGTAAGGAAAATCCCGGAGTAGTACAGAACAACTTAAGGCCTTCTGCAGGGGCCCCTCTAAAAAAGCAAGTGACCTACTCTGTAATTGGGCGAAAGCCTGTTGAGGGTCCACAACAAGAGAGAGGCAATAAATTAATTAATAAATAAATTACACCAGAAAGCAGATTTATAAAAGAAAAACTGCGTGATCGTTTCGTACCTGAAGCGAATGTTATCATTTATTCCATTTTTCGCTCTCTTTCGCAGCTTCGATCAAGAACGAACATATCTCATCCAGACCTGTCATTATTCCGTCGAGCTTGTCGTCTTCTAACACCTCTTTTTCGTAATATTCGCATTCGAAGTTTTGATCCCATGGACGAGTTGTGTTCCGTCCTCACCGTGTCTATACATATGACCTTTTATACGCATATTCTTTAATTATAGTGAGACATGGCTATTATTAATCCCTGGAGTGATATACGAACGGAAGAAGTTTTTTTATGACGTCCATTTATGTTAGACCAGCGTTATTACTAATATGCATAACGCTAGCTTACGATCTTAAATACATAAACTAATAATTTATTATGTGGGGCATAAACAGAATTCGGTTATGAGAGTAAAGGCGAAAAAGTATAATGTTGCTTTTCTAGCATGCCTGATTGTTTATGTTGTTCTTAAGGAATGGATATTTAACTTGTAAAGAAAGCGTTCAGGAGGTAGTCAAGCATACCCGTTAATTAGTATGAATCCACTGTAAGAATAATTCACTACAAGATAAATTCTTTTCAATTAACATTAATTTATTAAATTAGAGATTTATTTTATAGCTTATTTCAAATTGGCATTTTAATAGGTTAACCGCAAGGTTAGATAAAGCGATCACTTTAACCGCGAGGGGAGATAAAGTGAAAGAAATGATTGTACATTCTAATGACATTTGCCATTCTTATTTCAAATGGGACGGGTAGTTTAAAGGAAATCAAACGATATTTATACTTTAACAAATGTCAACACAAATAAGATTCATCCCCCATTCATTAACGATGTCTCTACGGAGAGGACGTTTTTGTAAAATATTAAGAAGCAGGGGATCTAATCCACTGTGCTGCTGGTGTTATTCAAAATTCTAGTCTACACATTTTTCCAGTTTTCCACAACAAAAGAAGGGAGAAATATGCAATTTTAAAAATTTTCTAAGAAGTGAAACGAATTGAATATTTAATTTCATCGTATTCTATCGCACCTCTGGTGGTCTTGAGGTTTGCAGTTGCGAAAAATAGTAGCCAGTGATGAGACTGGAACCTCACCAATCGCACCGATCAATGTATTTTATTTTGTCCACAACTGTATTTAATCACACACTGGGTAATAACTTGTCAACCTAATTAATATTTTACGTGACTTAAATTATCCACGGCCTTCTCTCGATCAAAATTTTGTTGTTCTGTTCTTCCTTATTTAAAAATATAATTTTCATAGCCAAAAGGATAGTTTCCTATTTGCCAATCATTTCCAAAATCTTTTCAACTTTTAGGACCATTAGAGGGAACATTGGTACAAAAGAAATTAGGGCAGAATTAAAAACTCAAAACCTTCCCCATGCGTCTAAATTTATTGATTAAATTGTGGAATAAATAGTTGCGACTAGTTTTATTTCACAATTTAGTCAATAAATTTAGACGCATGGGGAAGGTTTTGAGTTTTTAATTCCACCCTAATTTCTTCGATGTCCACCCCATTTTGAGTTTAAGAAAACATGGATACCCTCAATTCATTGGTACAAAATTTCAGCCAAATCGGTCTGCTCCTTAGAAAGTTATACGTAATTCAATAAATATCGATTTTATTGCTAAAAAGGCATTTGCCATTTTCGAATCTCTTCCAAAAACTTTTCATCTCTCAAGAGCATTTAAGGGAACATCTTTCAAATCTCAAACAAATCGATCGGGTAGTTTCGGCTGAACCTTGTTTACCGTTTTACCTCACGCACTTACTCACACATACGTACATACATTTTTTTTAACCCACTTTTTGGGACTCCAGGTACCTTGAAACGTAAATATCCGGTGAAATCTCAAAATCGAAATTTGAAGTGATTTCAGTAACTCTCCATTTTTAATTGGTGAGGTTAAAATACCGAGCCGTGGAAGTGGGTTTTTGAATAACGGTCACATCAACATCTGTTCTATCAAAAACAGAACGGAAAGTCGTAACTTGACGAGAGGTTCGAAAAAACGATATTTGTGTTGCCTATATACGAGTATTCAAGAATTCAAGATCATAATCTACGTACACCCAACTTACAACAAAAAAGGGTTTTCAAATATTTCATCAGTCTACTATTACAAATTTTGAACACATTATAATTGATTGTATCCTGAAATATTTTGTCTAATACTTTACTACTTACATTAAATAATAACGTAAATAAAATTAACGAGTACACTGATGTATACATCTTCTGTTATATCTAACTAGACTTTGTTCATTATTCAAAAAATTTAGAACAACCTCGACCGCATGTTATAGGTCAACACCGTGATAATGTTATCGCTTCATTCACAGCCTTCGTTAAATTTTCCGCTTCCTAAAATTCATAATGGATACCCTCCCCCACCTTCTTCATGTGTTGATTAAGAGGGACCATGTACGTCTTTACCCCGAATCTTATAAAATTGTAATGAGGGTGTATCCTTTATGTTACCATTGCCTTTTAATTATTGTAATGAACATCATTTTTCGAAGAAACCATTCAGTATGTGTATATTTTTGATCTACGAATTTGGAAGAATCCAAATTATACTTAGTTACACGCCGAAAAAGAAATGCATATTATACCTTATCTTATTACGCTTTTGGGCCATTAATGTATTCCAAACGTGTTATAAGCTATTCGTCTGCTCGTCCGCCTGTCGTTAAAACACTGGAAAATCGTAAAAAATTGCTGGTTTACGGTAAAAAATTAGCTAGGTATATCATCGTCAGTTTCCTGAGATAAACGGAGTAAAAAGAAGCACCAATTTCTATAACAGAAATAGGTTTCGAAAATAAACTCGTTGCAAAATTCAAATCGCCGATAATTAATTTGGGTTTACGAGCAGTTAACAGTAACATTACTAATCTTGATTACACAAAAGAATATACTTATTGATTAGCTATTTGCATCTTATCATCGTTGAGCTCTGCGATTCCGAAATTCATACTAAAATCGCAATGTACTCAGTTTCTGCGCGTTTCTTTCGCAACATTAAAGTGAGTTGTCACGTGAGGACGTTTGCTAATGTCATCCTGAAAGTTGTGCTTATTTGTTTATTGCTATTGCTGTTCCATGTATGTTAAATTTTATTTCTTACAATTACATATCCATTACACAGGTTTTTAAGTGCGCCAGAATAAGTGAGACAAATTTATCACGTTGGCATTGTCGATTTGACCGAATGAAATGTCACCCAACAACTGTCAGTATATGAAATCAAAATTGGTATGTTCATTGATCTCCTTGAGACTATTTCAGGCACGCAGAGTAGCTGCATCGTGTTTAAATACAATAATTATATACAGTGATATTCTGTAGAAGTAGACATAGGGATTTCCTATGTCTACTTTTACATGATAAAAAGTCTCCTGAAACACGCCTAATTTTATGCAACCAAAATAACTTTTTGAAACAAATAAAGATCTGGCTGTAAAAGTAGACATAGGAAATTCTTATAGGAAATCCCTATGTCTACTTCTACATGAGTATCACTGTAGATATTTATACGATGTTCAGATAATTAAACTAAAGAGGCATTGCACTCCATTTCTATTATGACAACATAAGCCACTACAACATGGTGTAATAGTTATTTATTATACAAGACGATAAAGGGATATTTTAACCATTGAGTGAAAGATGTGAACTTTCATGAGATGGTTAGTTTCGCTTTATCGTCGTGTATAATACAAAACTTTATTTTGTAGCAGACCCCATATAAATCATTGTAAAGATTCTGACAATTCTGAATTTAATTTAGAGACGTCAAAAATAGCAAGCTTAGGTTCTGCCGTCGCAACGGTTTTCATACAAACAGAATAGCCACATGTTCTGAACGTCATTTTATATCGTGCATTTGAAATAAGAATGACAGATGTCATTAGAATGCACAGTCATCTGTTTCACTTTATCTACCCGGTTAAAGTGATCACTTTATCTATCCTTACGGATAAAAACGGCTTGGCCTACTCATTCAAACCTACTAAAATGTCAATTTAACATATGCTATAAAATAAACGTACTTTATACGTCGTCTAGTGTAAAAACAGTCACAGGTAGCAACCCACTGCAAAATTAATGCCCTTTTCTTCGCATCGGCTAGTTATAGATGAACATAATATAGTAATTTGTGTACACCTCAAAGGCGATCAGTTTTGCAATGAGCGGCAGCGACGGACCTATGGGGGGGGGGGGGGCAAGGGGGGGCAGGCTGCCCCTCCAATACTTAACTAGTTGGCAATTTTGACAAGAGTTGGTAATTTTCATTACCAGTTGGCGAATTCCGCGAAAGTAGGTAAATCGTAAATGTGATAAGTCGACTATTGAAGGAATAAGAAATTTTGGCAAAATCTATAAAAAAGGACTCTTTAATAGGAAAGTCACTTCCTTCTTCTTCTACACAAGGTTGGTATTTTGGTAATGCTTTTAATTAGTATTAGAGACCGTATACTGATATCTTACATTTTCTACATGATTATTAGAAATACCACTTAATACTTAATAGATACTACTCCGTTTGAGTTGGAATTTTTACAGTTGAGTTGGCAAAATGTCATGTCTGCCCCCCCGATTTTTTTGTCTAGGTCCGTCCCTGGTGAGCGGCCACCTGCGATGATTGACGTGACTGCTTTTATCCTAGAAAAGAAATACCTTCATACTAATTGTTTCCTTCTAACCATTCGTTTTTATCGAATAGTAATTGACTATTGTACAATTTGCATTTATAACTTCATATTTGCTGCATGCACATTTAAATTGTGGAGCGTGGACCATACGTTTGTATACCAGTAACATGCGCTCCCCAGTGGTTTTCAAATGTCTAAGCAACCCCGGATAGACGCATTAGTTAGTATTCATTTCTTCTATCGATCATGATGGAAGCAGCAAATTAATGTTACTATACCGCTAATTGTTTCAGAAATGCTTTCCATCAGCTCCACATGAAACTTCACTGGATCCTCGAGTTGAGTACTGTATCCAAGAAGATACAAAGATTAAAAACATACAAAAACAGTATATCCGTTTGCAACTTATAACCGGGTTGTACCTATACGATCTTAACCACTTTGCAAATTTGCAACTGATTTCATCGACAAACCTATCACATGATACATTTCTTGAATGTGCTTGGATGGAGTATAAATATATAAGTAGGAGAGGGGAATTCAAGCTTCACAACATACAAGTGGCACTACAACACGCACTGGCGAACAAGATTGGAAAATCAAGATTAGTGATGAATATGAGCAAATTTACAGCGAAGAGTATTATGGACGAATGCGCGAATGTGACAACAAAAGCGAGAGCACTGAGTTCCAAAATTGTGTGCATTCAAAATTGTATACATAATCAAATTCGGATGTTAATATCTTAAGTGGTCAAAAAGATGTGACATGTAATATTTAAATTAAACTTATTAATTAAAAAAAATTGTTAAATTTCATAATGTTGGATACGAAAACATGCAAACAATTTATGAGCGGCAAATTCAAATACACCCAATGGCGACGCTACTGGTAGAACTTCTAGCCATTGTGCCTAAAAAACATGTATACACGACACTAAGTTGCTAGGAGACGGCTGCGCCCTAGTGCTTCAGCTGTCTAAAATAAATCCAGTGAATAGAGAGGGGTTACTTCACAAAAGGTCCGGTAGTTCTAAATTTGTTATATGTTGTCTAGGATGGTTAATTAATGTACCTATTCATCTTTCTTCGCGCCTGTCCAAAAAAATTGACACTTTCTTCAGAATTTTGGTTATACTCGTACCTTTGTTTTGGTGCATTTTAGGGACAAAATGTCGTAGAGACATAAATTTCCTATAAATGTCCATAAAGTTTGTTTCTTGGACAGAGTTTCAGAGAAATAGGAAGGAACACAATGGCGGAATCACTGTGTCAAATTGCACAGCTTAACAACGGGAACTATATTTCATTTAGAATACAAATTTCAATTGCTAATGAGAGGAAAGGAGGTTTGGCACATCATTGAAAACATCCTCCGGGACCAATCACTGAAGAATTTAATAAAGCTGATGAAAAGACAAGCATAACGATGTTGACGATGACAAAATTCAACACATTCGCAACGGCAAAACATTCGTGGAATGCTCTCGAAGAATTTGACCAGAAGGACTCAAACAAGCAACAGGGTTATACGTCTAATTATACATCAACGCCTTGAGGAAGGAGGCAGTATAGAAATTCATTTTGGGAAAATGAATGAATTGTTTCAGAGACTGAAGGCAAAGGTTGGCGAACACAAATCGGAATTTTTCTTGTGTGCAACATTGTTGCCTCAATACCAGAGAGCTAGGATGGAATTGTTCGGGCACACGAAGCGCGTGATGAAGAAGAATTGACGGCAAATGATTGCAGTACCTTTTCGGTAGTAAAAAGACAAAGGAATAAAAGAATGCTCTAAAAAGTAGGGTTATCACATATTTATCGTTGCGCACCTACCTTTGGAAACTGTTGCACTTGTTCCACATTGATTCAATAGACCCTAAAATAAAGAGCGTAGACAACAGGCTTCACTTATTTGTATGTACAGCAAATACAATAACAACAATAGGTAAGTCTCATCTCTATTTTATTAAATTCCGCTTAATAATAATAATAATATCAATAATAATATAACAGCATCAACGATCCTCGTTTGCGAAATTTAAATAGGGCGAACTTCAGATACTAACGGACATCCAAGAATGTACGCTAGCCCTGCTCTTCCACAAGGTACTAATGTATGGTCATGTTTCTGAACAAATCAGGTAAGCTGTTGTACAGTTTAGATAAGGAGTTTTATTATCGGACGAAATTTAATTAACGCACGTGTTCTTATCGTTGCGTTGTTAGAAGATGTGGATGTTTTACGATGTGCGCGTTAATTGGGTGTAAGTGGGGACGCGGGACGAGGTCCTTCAAAGCTGTGATTATAATTATAATCTGATTGTGACCGGCGGTTGATTTTTATTCAAAATTCTGTGGAAAAGTTTATTTGATCAACGTAAAAACGAGGCTGGTACTGATAGCTGTTAGTTTTTTCCGCGACGGGTAAAGAGCTTTTAAGTTAAAGTTTACGCTAAATCTGAGACAGTTTGCTCTAGTTGGTTTAATAAAGACGCAGTTCGGCGGTTTCGAAGTAAAGCGATCGAGTTCGAGTGTGAGTAAACAAAGCGGTTGTTGGCTTAGTAAAACGTTTCTAAAAGGTTTGCCTTTCATTTAAAGTTAAAAGTTTTTAACGTCAGAGCAGCCACGGTTAATTTTTTTCATCTTATTGA